ACCCACTGGAACCCCTCCTGTCTCCTGTCTCTCAGGAGCTATTTCTATTCCCTGTTCCTATTCTCCAATAAAGTTTCCTACTCTTAGCCTCCGCTATTCCTTAGAATTCACTCTTGGACTTCGGGGAACATGAGCTCAGTGTAAGCAACATCCAGCACTTCCCCTGTGGGACAGTCATGGACAGTCATGTGCGCATCAGTGGTTCAAGCAGTCAAGATAACTCTTTGTGTTCATACAGCTCAAATTCCAAGATGCAATAAAAGGACAAAGCAGGGCATTAGTGAGCAGTGGTGGGGCACACCAGTAACCTTAGCACTTAGGGGCTCATGCAGAAGGATCGTGAGCTAAGAGCCCAGACTGAATTATACAGCAAAACCTTTTCTCAAAAAACAACAAAACAACCCAAACAAACAAAAACAAAACAAACCAACAAAAAAGCATAAAACTGGGCAGACATCATGCTGTTATTTGTATAAAAAAGAAGAAAAAAACCAAAAACACATTTGTTTGCTAACTATTGCTGTGGAAAAATAATCCCTAAGACTTAGTGATTAAACATTTATATTATCATCCTGGGGCCGGCGTGATAACTCAGCAGACTAAAGCACCTGCTTAGGCAAGCACAGGGACTGTGGTTCGATCCCCAGCACCACATGCCACACCAGCTCCACCCCCAGGGCAGGCTGAGCCAGCCACAGAGTGTAGGTACAGTGGTGCATGCCTGTAATCTCAGCACTAGGGAGGCTGAAAACAGGAGGATCACTATGAGTCTGGGCTGCATAGTGAGACCCCATAATAAGCAAATACATTTAAAAAGGAAAAAAAAAATTATCATCTTAGTATACATGGGTGAGGAATCAGGGCACAACTGAGCTGGCTATCTTTGGCTCAGTCCTCGAGTGGTCAGTTGGAGATGGACTCATCTGAAGGCTCACAGCCTGTGGGAGAGAGGACCTGCTTCTAAGTTCCCTTCCTGGTGGCTGCGGCATCTGACCTCTCGTGTGCTAGCTGACACCTCCAAGGCGTATGACCCAAGAGTCATACGGAAGCCATGGATTTATTCTGATCATCTGTTTTCAGAAGCAGTAGCCCATCTCTGTTGTCTTCTGTCCTTAGCCCCAAATCTGCATGCAGGCCCACAAGGAAAGGGAAAGGGAGGGGAGTGCCCCAGCGCATGGAGAGTAGAGGACCCGGCGACCTTCAGGAGGATACCTATCACCACGCCTGAGGCCAGGCGTGGCGGCCAAATCCTTAAATCCCGGCACTCAGGAGGCTGGGTAAGTTCAAGGCCAGCCTGCACCATATAGTGAGATCTTTTTTTTTTTTTTTTTGGTGGAACTGGGGATTTAACTCAGGACCTTGCGCTTGCCAGGCAAGTGCTTATTCCACTGAGCCATCTCCCAGAGACCTTCTTATTTAAAAAAAAAAAAAAAAAAAAAAAAAAGTCTACCATGATTATCACATAAGGCAGGGTGTTCATGTACTTTCACAAGCATCACTTGGGCAGGTGTCACCTCAAACGGTCGATTCTAGTATTGAATAAATTTGATAAAATTGTTTTTATAGTTCCTGATTAAAATTAATGAAAAAATATGCAATTGGTCATCCTATACTTATGTAATTGGGATAACAAGTGGTCCAGGGGAGTAAATTCTCAGAAATGTCATTAGCTAATTCTATTGTGTGAAGATTAGTGTATTTAAATGAACTAAGAAGCCAGAGTGTCACTAGAGAACATACTCTTAGGGCCACCAACATGTGTCTCCTCCACTGGCTGGAGTGTTCTGGAGCACACAACAGCACACACAGGTACACGTACACAAACAACTACCACTAGAACAAAATACAGGATCTCAAAATCAGGCTCAGAGCTCTTCCTGGTGTGGCCCGGTACACCCCTCTGAACCTGATTCCGGCCACACTTCTATGAACTCTACTTAATTACCATAAATGGACAATTAGCAATCGTCAACTCTGGGGGGGTGGTAAGAGCAACAGGCACAATGCCTCACACAGAGCAACCTTTCAGTGAATGTCAGTGTGCATTCTTTTTTTTTTTTTTTTTTTGAAACAGTCTCACTGTGTAGTACAGGCTGGCCTTCTAGGCTTGAGTTTACTACATAGCCCAGGCTGGGCTCAAACCCATGGCAATCCTCCTGCCTCAGCCTCCTGAGTGCAGGAATTACAGGCATGAACCACCATGCCCAGCAATGTCCATTCTTAATCAAAGGTTGCCCTTGCTCAGATTATGCCCTGTGCATGGAACACCATGAAGTCCTTTCCTAGCCCGAACTAAAATTCTCCTAAGACTAACTCAGATGGCCTTGTCACTATGAAATAATCCCCAGCAATTAGCTGTCACCTCTGTTCTCCTACTACCCTTTATATCACTGTAATACTCTTATTGTTGCATTACCACTTAAATCTCTACAACCAACGGTTGATTCCTGGACTATCAGCATCAACATATCCTTTTTTTTTATCTTTTATTTTTATTTATTTGGTACAGGATCTCGCTATGCAGCTCAGACTCATAGTGATCCTCCTGTCTTAGCTTCCCCAGCACTGGGATTATAGGCACGCACCACCACACCCGGTTTTAGTGGCCTTCAATGGCACACCCGGTGTTCCAGGGCTGGCATGGCTTGCAGTACTGGGGGTTAAACCTGGGTCTTTGCGCTTGCCAGATAGGTACTTAGACAACGAAGCTATCTCCTTGGCCTGTAGGGCCCCTGCAAAACACAAAATCCTGGTCCACTTCCCAACCAACAGAACAACACTCTAGATTCTTGCAAGATACCAGTGATCCATATCCACATTAAAGTTTGAGAAAGACTTTTAAATCTTTTCCTGATTGAACTGTGGATTTTCTCTGGACTTTCCTTGTCGTTTTCAAAGAGGGTTTCACTATGCAGTACAGGCTGGTGTTGAGCTCACTTTGTAGCCCAGGCTGGTCTTGAACTCCCAATGCTCCTCCTGCCTCAGCCTGCAGAGTGCTGGGATCACAGGTGTACGATATGTCTCTTCCCAGAGCCCATCATAAGACTCAATACTCAAATCTCTTCTGAATTTAGTTTTATTTATAACAATTATGCCCATGATAAAGTTTTAATAAAATTCTTGCAAGACTATACATGTTATTAATAATTGTTATGTAGTAAGTGGACAATGGTACATTTCTTATGTATTTCATTTTTTCACGGGCTATATGATCTTTGTAGACAGAAAAATATGAAGATTTGGAAAACCACATAAAATGTAAGATAGGCCATAAGATATAATCACAGACAAATAGGTATTATATAATAAAAATAATAGTTACAGTTGTAATGAGATATAAGAACAGATATGAAGCTGGGAATGGAGCTCAGTGGCACAGTGCCTGCCTGGCAAGTGTGAGGTCGTGAGTTTGATTCCTGGTACCAAAAAAATAAAAAACCTGATATGAAGATCAATATGCTGTATTTCAAGTTTTTAAAGACAATCTAAGGGCATGTACTGAGATCATTTGTTTCTAACTAAAACTGTGAATGAACAATAAAACAACACATTAAAGTATCTCTGAGAGCGTTTTCTACATTTTAAATCTTCCTTACAATTACTAAAAAAGCATATGGAAGAAACGTCATTTTCACTTTGAAAAAGGCCAAACCCGGTCATCGCGGGAGTCTCCCTTCCTAGTTACTTCATTACTTCAGGCAACCGGGGAAAGCGCTCCAAAGACAAAGCGTCAGTGGAGTCACGCTGCATCGGCTCCCCCTCGTGGCAGGCTGAGAAACGAAAGTGGTTTCATGATAATGAGCTTGTGCAAAGGGTCAAATACTTTGAACTTTGAAATGTTTTTCATTAGTGAAACCTTTTTTACTTTTTCTTTTTTGAGACAGGATCTCACTGTGTAGTCCAGGCTGGCCATGAACTTGCTGATGAGGCCTAGGCTGACCTCACATTTGCATCCTCCTGCCACAGCCTCCCACATACTGGGACCATAGTCCTGTCCTCCCATACCTGGCTTTCTTCCTTATGTCATTCATCCATCCATCCATCCATCCATCCATCCATCCATCCATCCATCCATGGTGGAACCGGGGATTGAACTCAGGCCCTTACGCTTGCCAGGGAAGCGCTTATTCCACTGAGCCATCTCCCTGGCCCCATTATGTCTTATTTTATTGTTTGGCCTTACAAACTGAACACAGGGCCATACCAAACATGAGCTCTACCACTGCACTCTCTTCTCAGCCTCGCCTCATCTATTTAAACCATCAAACCCACCGTATCTCCTTCACCAAGGAGTTAGGGACTGACTTGCACACGGACAATGCTTGGAGCAGCTGTAGCCTTTTATCTTCTGTTCTTTCTCTCCCTCCCACTTCACGCCTTAAGATACAGGCACTCTGCTGCCAGGGCTGCCCTTTCTCTCTGCCTCCCCGAGCCTCAGGAAAGGCTAAGCAGTGACCCACGCAGCCTTGGCCAGGCCCTGGCATGCAGGAGCCCTCAGACACGTACCACCCCTCCTCCCAAGACCCAGTCCTCAGGTTCTGAGCATTGACATTTCACATATGCCAGGTCGCTGTGCTGCCATCCCTTTAGAAATACCAGAGTGCAGCAATGTCAGTCTTCAACAGTGGCCCTCGGTCTCCAGACAAACGCACAGCTTCCTTACTCCTCCAGAAAGAAAGATACGTTCAGTAGGATATCTGAAACAGGAAGAGGGAAACACTGTTGCATATCACCACTTGACAGAACACGAAGCATCAGATTAATAAAGATACAGAGATACAGCAAGGGCATCTCTCTAACCGCCTAAGAACAGCCAGGAATGATGGCACACAGCTGTAATCCCAGCACTCAGGAGGCTGAGGCAGGAAGATCACTATGAGTTAGAGACCAGCCTCAGCTACATAATGAACTCAAGGCCAGCCTGAACTGCATAGAGAGACTCTGTCTTTAAAAAAAAAAAAAAAAAGGCTTCCCCAAGAGATGAGCCACCATGAAAAAAGACACATACAAACCAGTACCCTGCACGAGGTCTTGGCGCTCCTCCTCTGCAATGCGGTTCCAGGCTGCGGGCAATGCTTGAATGCCTTCCAAGTCTCCCCACTGGATGCAGGAGAGGAGGTACTTTCTCTTCAGGTACCTTCCCAGTAGTTAAGGACACATTTTCACAAAGAAAATAAAGGGCTGAGGGGTGCAGCTCAATACTAGAACACTTGCCTAACACATGCCCAAGGCCCTTGGTTCAATTCACATATAGAAAGGAGAAAAGAACAAAATTTTTTTTGACCAGGAATCGAACTCAGGACCTTGTGCTTGCCAGGCAGGCACTTGTGCCACTGAGCTATCTCCCCAGCCTGAGAAAGGAGAAAAAGAAACAATGAATAAGAGAAAGAAAAGAGAAAGGCAAAAAAAAAAAAAAAAAAAAAAAAAAAAAAAAAAAAAAAACCTATGTGGAAGGAATAAAGTTCCCTGGCCAGAACTACAGAGCTATAAGGTAACGGTTACATTTTGCCAGATGGGCAGGACTCACAGATAGTTCCCAAGTGGCACAGCTTGATGCTGCTAGGAGAGCTGTCCCTGAAATCTGAAATCTTGTCCCAGGGACAACAAAACCAGATAATGAATGGTAAAGCAGCAAAAAAGATAAACTCGGTGGAAGTTCAAAGGATGGATACCTCTGCTTCAGAGGCCAGCAGGAACATTCCAGCTCATAGGAAAGAGAAGCAGAGGCAGAGGAATGGGGAAACATGGAGTGGATTCAGGGAAAAGGGAGCCTTTTGGCGTGACTGGCCACACAGAGCGTGTGGCCAGAAGGGTGGCCAAGAAGATGTGTGGATCCGGAACATATAGAAAACTACAGAATGGAGGGAGGGAGGGAGGGAGGGAGAGAGAGAGATTGAGACAGGGTCTCACTATGTAGCTCAGGCTCACCTTGAGTTCACTTTGTAGCCCAGGATAGTCTCAAACTCACAACGATCCTCCTGCCTCAGCCTCTCGAGTGCTCGGATTACAGGGGTGTGGCACCACATGTGGTAACGTAGGGATTCTGCTATTAGGGATTCCTAATAGCAAAAGAAGGCACTGACATTTCCTCTACAAGCATCCTGAAATAGAACCAGACTTCTGGAAGACATAGGGACTGTGATAATTACCTGGAAATAGCTTAGAGAGGGAACAACTAGTGACAACAGAACCTGTCAACAGCCACACGTGGCTAAGAGTCCAAGTTAGAAACTATGGAAGTGGCAGAGGGCAGAAAGAAAATACAGTCATACATCACCGGATGAAAACACGTTCTGGGAAATGCGTCATTATTGATGGTGTCCAGTGTGAGCACTGTAAAGTCTGCTCTTACAACCAGGCCCGCCTGGCAGATGACACCAGGCGAGGAACTCTGCTGGGACCGCTGTGGGGTGTGTGGCTCATCTTGTGCATTCACATGACAGGAAAACAGAAGCAGGGACTTGCCAAGTGCCTGTGCAAGCAGCCTAGCGCAGGGTAAGCGCTCAGCAAGGTCCGCTTAGCTCCTGCTCCTCTTGTCCCTACTGCTGTTGCTCTCACTGCTACTCCGGGCGTCACATCACCACCACTGCGGCAGCTAACACAACAGAGAAGCCCAGGGGTGGGGGCACATTTCCACACTGAGTAACAAGAGTTCATTCTACAACTAAATGAAAAGGGGGTTCAATTTGAGAGCTACGGTGAGTTCAACTGAGACTCAAGACTGAAGCAAAAACGAAGATGAAACCACAACAGAGATGTGCGTATCAGGCAAGAACAGAGGAAAAAGCTAGGATTTTAATTAACTGGCCTTTCTGCTTTCACCCTTGCCTGCCATCACTCGGAGGCTTTGCTTAGAACGTAGCTACTGAGACACTATTAAAAACATAAGTCTTTTCATGTTACTCTTCTGTTCAAAACCTTCTAACAGCTTTTATCTCAAAGTAAAAGCCAAAGTCCTTTCAGAGACTTGAAGGTCCTAGACTCACTGCTCTCGTCGCCTCTTGCATTCCCCTCATGCCCTCCCACACAGAAGGCTGCCCGGACCACCCTAGCTCATAGCCCTCCCTCAGACCTCTCATTCTTTCATTATTTTTCTTCAGTGTTTTTGTTTTTTTTTTTGGCTTTGAGACAGGGTCTTGTTATGTAGCGTAAGCTGACCTTGAACTTGACAGTGTAGCCCAGGCTGGCCTGGAACTCATGGCAATCTTCCTGCCTCAGCCTCCCAAGTGCTGGGATTACAGATGTGTGCTACCACGCACAGCCTCCATAGCATGTATCACCATCTGACACTCCATATTCCTTTTTCCACTTAGAGATAGACTCTGGCTATGTTGTTAAGGAAAGCCTCAAGCTTGGTGTTCTCTTATCTCAGCCTTCCATGCAGCTGGGATTATAAGCATATACCACTGGGCCCAGCTCTGTATGTACCCATTTATCTACCCATCCTTCTTTCTTTTCTTTCAGACAGTGTCTCACTATGTTGCCCAAGCTGGCCTCAGAGTCACAGCAACTGATCTTCCTGCCTCAGCCTCCAGAACGCTAGGAACATAGGCATGTGCCACCACATCCAGCATATTTTTCTTTTTAAATGCCTGTTCCCCAGTGCCTTTAAAAGTGCCTGGCAGGAGTACCTATTCGACAAGTGACTTAAGGAATGATTATGAAAAGGAATACAAGAGGAACCCAAGTTTAGGAACTAAAGAGAACAGACCAAACTACAGAGCTCTCCAACCTTGGGAAAACTGAGCTCTTGACACTCTCTCACAGGGACCCAAAGGATACGAGCTTCGGTAGTGCCTCTCGATGTCCTGCAGCCATTCCAACATGTCCGCCACAGAGGGGCTCCCTGCCGAGGGCTGGAGGACGGCGTCGAGGCCAGCTGCGTCTGCATGCTGCTCATAGGTCTCAAACACTCGTTCCACATGGCTGCTGACGGTGTCCCGCACCTTGAGAAGGGTAGCTCTGTGGGAAAGAGTCTGACATCAGACAATCCCATGAGAAAGGCAGGCGGTGAGCTTTCTCGAGCCTGGTGTCACGGACGTTCTGGACTGGAGATCCCGTCAGTGGAGACTGCCCTGTGCATTGCAGGATACGCAGTGGCGGACCTGGCCACTATCCACTGAATGAAAGAAGTAAACCATACTGACCTCTCTCGCTCACTCTTTTTTTGGTCTTTTACAGACAAATTTTCACTATACAATTCAGGCTGGCCTTGAATTCACTCTGCAGCCCAGGCTGGCCTGTAACTCATACAGATGCTCCTGTCTCAGCCTCCCAGGTGCTGGGATCACAGACCTACCTCCCATGCCGGGCTTCTACCTTCTTTAAATCATGACAGTAGCCTCTAGACATTGCCAACGTCCCTTACAAAATTCATCCTCAACTGAGACCCTGATCTAACGGAACTGGTAATAATATCTTGGAGATAGGGATGGATCAAGAATCAAAAACTGACTTACAGTTGGAGAACCTAAAGAAGTTATGGGGCTCTTAAACCTGTGGGATAAGCCCAGTTACCAAAGAAAGTAAAGATTAAGGGGCCTTGCTGGGACTGCCTCGAAGCTGAGGAGAACAAATAGTCCCAGGCCTCATACAAGGAAAAGGAATAAGAGGTAAGTGAAGCAACAAACTAACACTACCTACACATTTCCTAGTCCTTTCCTGTTTTAAAAACAAAACAAAACAAAACAAAACAAAACAAAACAAAACAAAAAATAGGGTTTCTTGGGCTGAGCAGACAGCTCGGTAGCTTAAATGCCTGCCTGATAAGCACAAGGACCCAAGTTGAAACATGGTTTCTCTATGTAGTCCAGGCTAGCCTTAAACTCATAGAGGGCCTCTTGCCTCAGCCTCCTGAGTACCGGGATTATAGGCGTGCGCCATCATGGTTGGCTGCCTTTCTTGGTAAATTCCTGTAAGTGTGATCTCAGCACAGACAGTACAATGGACACAGGAAAGTACACTATCTCCCTCATGTATAAAAGCAGTTTGTAGAGGCCAGGGGTGCAGCTCAGCAGCACAGCACCTGCCCGGCAAGCACAAGGCTGAGTTCAAGTCCCAGTACCAAAAAAAAAAGTTTGTTTTTCACACTGCACAGCCAAAGCAATAGCTCGAATCTAGCCTAGCATGTACAACAACAAATATTCAATATATGACTCAATGAATGAATGTGAAGGATCATCATAAAGATTAAATGCAATAATCCATACAAAGTGTTTAGAACAGTGCCTAGGTTTTTATAAACAGAATGTTACTTCATTGCTGATTCCAATGTGTCCAGCCATCAACACAAAAACTATAATTTTCCAAAGGGCAGGGGATCACGTAGGTGCCTTTCAAAAATGTTTGGCCATGAAATCACAATGAGAAAAAAAACCTCAATGCCCACGTATAAACATGCAATCAACTGATATAAAAGTTCACAGAATACCTGACCATCTGATACACGTTTTACATATTGCAAGTGATTTGTATGTAGCATTTAAAAGATAAAATAAAACTGGGAGTAGTGGTGCACACCTGTAATCCCAGCACTTGGGAGGCTGAGGCAGGAGGATTAATACAAATTTCAGGCCAGCCTGGGCTACACAGTGAACTCAAGGCCAGCCTGAACTATACAGCAAGACCTTGTCTTAAAACAAAATAAAACAAAACCCCCAATAAAATAGAAGACAAAATATTGGAGTCATATTTTGCAGACTACTTCAGTTATATAATGTAGTATCATAGCTTCAATATTTTCATCCCACCAAAATAAACCCTGTATCCATTAGTAGTCATTTCCTCCATCTCTTCCACTCAGCCCCAGGCAGCCAATTACTTACTTTTTATCTGTATGGATTTGTTGTGGATATTTCACAGACGTGGAATTATACATCCTGTTGGGTTTGGGTGTGTGTGTGTGTGTGTCTGGTCCCTTTTACTTCGCATGCTTTCAAAGTTCATTCATGTTGTAGCATGTATCAGTACCTAATTCCTTTTAATGGGTATGCAATAGTCCACTGTATGGCCCCTAACGCACTGTTTATCTGTACATCTGCTGGACACTGGATTTATTCCACCCACTGGGTGTTACAAGTAACACTGACTCCCATGGAATCCTGAAACAGCTACTGATGATAAGGAAGCCAATTAACATAGCTATGTCGATAGCCAGGAAGTTCTTGTGCATTTCTGTTCCACCTCTCACCGAAGTCCTCACTCCAGAAACAAGACAACTATCTGTAGAGCATATGCTCCGGGACACAGCTTACACAGCCCTTCGTGAGCTCCATCTCACTTCTTACCAGCCCCCGCTCCAGCCATATCAGCCTCCACGCAGCACTATTCCGACCCCCTCCTGATCCAGTTTACACAGGTCACCTAGGTTTTCGACACTACTTATTTTCAGAGACTTCTCCCTGCTCAGATGGCATTCATCACTATCTCAGAACATACCACAACAAAATTTAAATGATTCTCTCTTTCTCCTACTCCACTAAGAACAGGAACTAGTCTAACTCATCTTTGTATTCATAGCAACTTCTGCATGGCATTCTAAGGATGCTTAATAAATGTTGCCTGTTACAAATGCATGAAGACATAAAATGAGTTTCCCATGAATCCATGGCATAAACACTGTACACTAGAACTTTCTTTTGTTCTGGGTTAAGAAGAAGCCGCATATGCCTTGCATCTTCTCAGGCATCAGTAGTCTATCACGTTAGCTAGAGGGTCTAATAATACACAATAATCAGTCTGGAAGGCAGGTTATCCCTGAGCAGAAACACCAATGCTCAAAAGATCAACATGGAGGTGACGCTCTGGCTTCGGTGTCAGGTACACTTGGGTTTGAATCCTAGCTACACTATTTGTAGGCAATCGGTTTAAATCCTGTTCCTTGTTTGCAAAAATGGAGTAAGATCAAATTGCAGGCGTCAAAAGGCCAGGCGATGTGGTGCTGGCTTGCAATCCCAGCACTTGGGAGGCTGAGGCAGGAGGATCACAAGGCCATCCTGAACTAAAACAGTTCTTACTGTCTCAAGAGAAAAGATTTTATGAGGTAGTATACGTAAAACTTTTAGTTCTGATACCGATTAGCTTAAATATAGTTTCTCGTTGCCTTTTTTTTTTTTTTTTTTTTTTTGTGGAACCGAGGATTGAACTCAGGCCCTTGAGCTTGCCAGGGAAGCGCTTATTCTACTGAGCCATCTCCCTGGCTCCTCTCCTTGCCTTTAACAATGAAAACCACAGAGGAGAGTCAACACATCTTCACCATTCTTTTTCTGCTCTGCTTTTGTAACTTTACTAAGGTCAGCAAGGCCAAGCCCAGCCTCTGCAAGGGGACTAAGTGACCAGAAAAATGGCTTTTTGATGGAAGTCCCACTGCAACAGGAAGAAACATGGAAAAGCGGAGACACTTCTAAACGCCATGCACTCCAAGAGAAAACTACCTTTCTGAACCATTCCACTTATAAAGCACCCAGTTTTTGGATCATTCCGCCGAGAAGGTGCGCCCCGGAGACTCACAGCTTCTCGGCCAGCTTGTCCAGGACAGTGTCGCCAGCCTCTAGCTGCTTGCGCCTCAGCCGCTCCTGTAAGTCGGGGAACGCCCGAAGCGCCGGCACGTCGTCAAACCGCAGGTTCTGAGCGGCCTGCAGCTGCTCTGCCAGGTTGCCGAGCGAGGCCAGGAGCGGCTGGCAGTCCTGCAGCGTGCTCTGCCACAGGCCCTGCTGTTCCTCCACCACCGGAAAGCACTTCTTTAGGGCCGTATGCACAGCAAGCAAAGGTTGGTCTTGAGTCATCTTCTGCTAGAAAAACAACAAAAATATAGGGCCAGGTGACCAAGTCAGCTCACGGGTATAAGTCATTTCCGACCTCGTGGGAGGGCCAGCGCTTGGCCTCCAAGTCCCTCGAGACGGGAGCTTCTACTTGAGGCGCTGCTTTACCTTGAGAAGCGGCTCTCGGGATGAGGACCCTGCTTCCCACCCCAGGATCGCTGTGCTGGCTATGGCTCCTACGGGATATGGAAGCTCTCTACTTCAGCTTGCGGATTCCCGGGGCCCCAGGCCCGTCTCGACTCAGGCCCAGCGCTTTTGGAACCTTAATCTTGTATAACCTTTATTTGGGGCCTCCAGGAACATGGCTGGAAACCAGCAGAAAAGATTAAAGCCAAACAAATCAATCCCTTAACTACTATCCGCAAGAATCACCACGCCTCAAACCAGCCCGCGCATGCTCAAAAGCAACCGCCCCGCGCTCAACGTCAATTCAAGCGACTACAGATCGTAAAAATAGGGCGTCAACCTGCAAAGACTTCTGGGCATTGAAGTTCTGCATATGGATTGGCTGCCTGGTGGGAACTTCCTTGTGATTGGATGTTGTAGGACCATCTTAAGGCTGCGACGTCTCATTCGCCAGCCTGTGGTAGTTGGGTTTAAATTGGTTGGCGGTTAGTTCCCGGTCTCTGCTAGGACAGTGAGGTTTTTCTGGGCCCTTCTTGCGGGATCCGTAGGTACGTGTCTCGCCGCTTCTTTATTCCCAGACTCAGAAGGACGTTCCCGCTCGCCTCCTCTGCCTCTTCGCACCCCCTTACGTTCCCTGCTCCCATCTCCATCCCTGACCTTTGTGTCTCGGTGCCCGGCTCTCCACGGCCTCCACCCGAGCGCCATGGCTCCCTCTAGAAAGCGCAGCAGTCGGGCAGCCAAGACCAACTCGTTGCGGAGTCGGAAACTCGCCTCGTTTCTTAAGGACTTCGACCGAGAAGGTAAGGGACAGGTCGTCTCGGCTGTCGCGGCGATCGCGGGGTGCTGGAGGGTTGGGGCGCCGGCAGCACGGATTTACCCGTTGAGTGAACCGTGTCCTCTCGTCTCTGCCTTCTCGCAGTGCAAGTGCGGATCAAGCAAATTGAGTCAGACAGGCAGAACCTCCTGAAGGAGGTGGATAACCTGTACAACATCGAGATCCTGCGACTCCCCAAGGCGCTGCGCGAGATGAACTGGCTCGACTACTTTGGTAAGAGCAGCTACTTTCCCGAGGCTGCGGTCTACAGTGGTCTGTGGTTATCCTAACAACCTTTAGAAAGGACTAACTCAGACGTCTCCTGCTGAATGAGGTTCACTCCCCGCTACATTTGCCTCCATTGTATTAACTGCATACCAGTGGCCGCCTCCACTCCTGGCAAAGGATCAGACAGCAAATATTTTCTTCTTCTTGGGCCAGAAAAAATGAACTGTGTTCCTGTAACAGCTTATTTTTTTATTTATGGTCACTTAAACATGAATTACCCCCCACCCCGAACCGGGGATTGAACTCAGGCTGTTGCGCTTGCCATGTAAGTGCTTATTCTACTGAGCTATCTCCCCGCCCCATGAAATGTGAATTTTTTCACTTCACAAAATATTACTCTTGTGTGTGTTACCTAACCATTTAGAAGTGAATGAATAAATAACTTACTTTATTGGAGCTCAGATGGGAGAGTTACTACAAGCCACTCTTTCTGTAGCTTGTGGAAATTGTCCGTTTAAAAAGTAGGAGGGGAGGTGCACACCTGTAACCCTAACACTCTGAGAGGTTGGGGTATAAGGGTGAAATTCGTGTCTCACCTAAACAACTTAGCAGACTATCAAAATAAAAATGGACTGGGGATGTAGTTTAGTGTAAAGGTTCTAAATTAAATCCCTAATTCTACCAATTGGGGAGGAGAGGGGGGCCTGTAGGCTGTATCATTTGTAAAGTGGAAGGACAGGAAAGATTTTTTTGACCAGAGAAAAATCCCAGCTTCTTTTGCCACCCCCTTATTAATGTTCAGGAGAATGCAAGGGCTGACCATCCTGCCTATTGTTTTTTAGAAGGGTCTCACTGTGTGGTTCAGGTTGGCTTTGAACTTACATGTATAGGGTTGTGCCACCACGCCCTGCTCTTCTTTACTAACTTCACTTTTTTTGTTTTCTTTATTATTAATAATTATGTAATATGTAGTCTGCTTTCTGGATAGAAATGCATGTGATGCTCACATAGGAGTTTAATGATTCTTTTGATTTGTGTTTTCACTTATTTAATGCATTCTCAGAAAAGTGGACTATGTCACATCTACAATGCTAGGTGCTGAAGATACATGAGGGAATAAAACAGACATTTTCCCTCTTCTGGGAGCTTATGGGTTAGAGGGGAAGAATTACTTAAAAATTTGGGGCCGGAGAGATAGCTCAGTAGAATAAGTGCTTGCCTGGCAACCTGAAGGGTTCAATCCCCGGTTCCGCCAAAAAAAAAAAAAAAAAAAAAGATTAAAATAAAAATTAACATACATAAATGCCTATTTAGGCAAGCGTATATAAGCACCTGCACGCAGGGACTGGAGTTCGATCTCCTGCATGATCAGCCATGCCGGCCCGGTCCCCTGGCGTGCTGAGTCCAGGCAGCGTGGTGCAAGCCTGTATTCCCTGCTCTGAGGAGGCAGAAAGCAGGAGGATCATGAGTTCCAGCTGCCTGGTGAGACCCTGTATCCAATACATTTAAGTAAATACAAGTATATAATCAGAATTATACAAAAGAGATACCATCAGCTGGGTGTGGTGGTGCACATACTCTCAACACTTGATTGTAATCCCTGCACTTTGGGAGGCTGAGCACTGTGAGTACAAGACCAGCAATCAGCCTGGGATAAACGAGTGAGTTCAAGGCCAGCCAGCACTACACAAGGAGACTGTCTCAAAAACAAAACAAAAAACGAGGGCAGGAGTGGACACTTTGAGTAGCTTCTGAGTAGTGGGTGTGCCAAGGTAGAGCTACTTAGCAATTTACTTATTTACCAATAGCTACTATTTACTTTTCAATTTTTTCTATACGCCAAAATCTATTCTAACGTAAGGAACATAAGCAGAGTTTTGGGGTGATGTTTGAGCTACATTTAGAAACACAGATTATAACTTTGTTGTGTGCACAGGAGTATTTTAGACAGAGGAAATTCTTAGTACTGTAGTAGGGCACTGAGTTGTGAGAACCAGTGTCACGTTTGGGAAATAACAAGAACCTTGGCAAGGTAGAACATAGAATAGTAATAGGTCAGGAGTCAGAATGGTGCTTGGAGAAAGATTAGACAGGACTGTGAAGGTCTTTCAATTAAGGTCCAGTTATGGAAATGGAGTTGCTTGAACTAGGAAAGATGATTTATTGTTCAAATCTGTTAATAACTAAATATGATGTTTTATTCTTTTTAAAGCCCTTGGAGGCAACAAACAGGCCCTGGAAGAGGCAGCAACAGTAAGTGACCTGTCTTATTTTTGAGCTGGCTAATTTAAAATTAATCCAATCACAAAATTCAACCAATGGGGCACATATTGTAAAAGAGATTCCTTATAGAGACATTATATTTTTTTGTTTTTGTCTTTTTGAGAAAGGGTCTTACTCTGCAGTTCAGGCTGGCCTTGAACTTACTTTATAGCCTGGCTGGCCTGTAAATTGTGGCATTCTCCCTACCTCAGCGCCCCGCAAGTGCTTGGATTACAAGTGTGCACCACTATGCCCAGCAATACAATGATACTATCTGTGTCAACTGAAAAATTATACTTGTGTCAGACATCAAACACTGAGTATGTGAAGCCCAAAGAGGTCTGAGTCCTCAAAAGAGAGTGTGTTATTATGTTACACATTTCTTCCAGCCCCTATCTGTGAGTTCCTCAGATGAGGATTCAACAAATCATGGCTTAAAAATATTTAGGAAAAACTAATTGCATCCTTTGTAAACTTGTACTGACTTTTTTTCTTATTCTCCAAACAAATAGGCCAAGTGTGATGGCACATCCCTGTGATTCTGGCATTAGAGAGGCAGAGGCCAGAGTACTGCTGCCGATTCAAGGCCGGGCTGGACTACATAGCAAGACTCTCTCTCTCAAAGCAAACAAAACAAACAAAATATATAGAATAATGGCATTTGTATAACATTTATAATGTCTTAGGTATTATAAGTAATGCTAAGGTAATTTAAAATATGTAAGAGCTGGGCATGGTGGCACACCCCTTGAATCCCAGAACTCAGGAGGCGGAAGTAGGAGGATCACCTTGAGTTTGAGGCCAGCCTCAGCTACGTGGTGAGTTCAAGGCCAGCCTGGACTAGCTAGCAATACCCCATTTCCAAAACAGACAAATACATGGCAGGATGTACCTAAGTTATAAACCTATTTACCCTCTTTTATATAAGAGACGTAAACATTTATGGATTTTTGGTATCTACAACACGTCTTGGGAATAATCCCTATGGGTTCCAAGGGATGACTGTAGTTTTAGATTTTGTTCACAGTTGTTGGCCTATAATTTCTCTACCCATTATAATTCCTTAAGTGTCTTCAGCAAGAACATTATCATTTATTAGCCTTGGCTAGCCAGTGAGACCCTGACTCAGAGGGGAGGGTCTTAGAATATTCTTAGTCTTTGGTTTCTTTTTGTTTCTATGACCCATTTTAAATCCACCCCAGACAGACCCAGATCTAATATTTCAGAACACAGTGTGTGGGGCCGGGAATGTAGTTTATTGGTAGAGTGCTTGCTTAGTATTTGTGAGACTCTGGGCTCGATTTCCAGCATTACAATCAGTTACTCTCTCCTTTTTAAATTGAGCCAGGTATACAGACCTATAAGTAAGAGCTTTTGATGTAATATGAGAGATCCACTCATCACACCAGACTGAGAGAATTCTAGCTTTACCTAGTATAATTTAGAACCTAGTGAAGGAATGATACTTTCATTCAAAAGCTCTTGTCTTGGAGGTGTGTTGGGGGCTCCGACGACTACCACAAGTTTGGTGATTCACTAAGAACTGACAGGACTCAAATAGTCACACTCATGGCAATCACTTATCACAATGAAAGATACAAACTCAGAAAAAGAAAAAAAAAAGTATAGGGCCAAAGTCCCAGAAGTCCAGTTCCAGTGGAGTCAAACAGGATATGCTCAATTCAACGCATGTGCAAGGTTGTCTGCCTGAAAAGCTCCTTAGAGACTCAGTGCCCAGGGTTTTTACAGAGAGCTACTGATGCGTCTTCTGCCTAGCACATCAAAGCAGGTGTCCAATATGAATGCTATCATTTGCACAACATAGAACAACATTGAGCTATTCTTTTGTTTGTTGCTTTTTGAGACAAGGTCTCATTATGTATTTCAGGCTGGCCTTGAACTCACTATGTAACCTGGGAAAGCCTCAGTTTTAGATGATCCTCCTGCTTCAGCCTCTCAAGTGTGTAGATTATAGGCGTACACCACCACACCAGGCTCAATGAGCTGTTCTTACCATAGAACATTTACGTGTCTTGGAACCCAAGGGGCAGTCTTGTAAGCAGGCCTTGCTACTTATATCAGTCTAGACCTGATATGTTAACTCTTATGTTTAGTGTCTATGGCCTGCCATCAGTGACAACTTTACAGTTTGCTACTTGTTAGCAGAGATGGCAAAAGGCTGACTGGAATCACCACTTCATTCCATCAACTGTGGTAGACATTGCTAATCTGTTGTAGCACTGGAAGTCCCAACAGCCTCAGAATCCTTCTCTGAGCACTGCACATAGTCCTGACCAGTCCAGATATGTACCTGGGTCTCTCCCAGTCTGTATTAACTATTCCAATATTTACATGCATCCCATGAGGAAAACACTGCACATCATCCCTGCTCTTAGCTCTACCTACATATATAGGTGATCCCAACCACAAACAAATCTCATTAGAATGGCTAGTGCAGGGAAGCCTTTGCGATACCCAGGTGCATCAGTGAGATGCAGTAGGCTGAGCAGAATGAGAAGTCTGACACAATATCAGATGTTAGAGCATACTAGCGTTAGGAACTTTTATTTGCAGTTGAATGCTAACCAGGTACAACCACTGCAGGAAGCACTTCGGCATGATATCAAGACTGACATTTATGTAACTGATAACAACCCTGGAAGGCTCTGTTCTTCCCAAGTGTAGAGCTGAGAGAAAACCTGGACATCAAATGCAACTGTCACACATATGAAATAGTTCAAAGTAGTAGTGTTTGTAGTGGCAAAAATGTATTCATGGGAGACTACATAACTAGTATGATATAATCATCTAGTGGGATATTATGTAGCAGTAGAAACAAGTTAAGTACAACCTCAAATAGTGGTCAGAAGACAAGCTAAACTAGCAAAAAATTTAAGCACACTTCATATTTGTGGAAAAGCATGTTGTATGTATATACATCTATGCCTGTGTCTCAGTTACTTTTCTCATTGTTGGGACAAAATATCCACCTGACACTCAAAATTAAGGAAGGAAAGGTTTATGTAGCTCACAGTTTGTGGGAGCTTCAGTCCATACTTGGCTGGCTCCAAGACAGGGTGTCACCTGGCAGAGGGCAACCATTCATTGTGACAGAAAGTAGTAAAACAGCAAGAACATAAAGGGAAGAGCAGAGCAGCAGCGGCAGAGAACAAGCCTCTCCCTTCCTTGTATTGCATTCAGGCTGTCCATGGGTGTAGCACTCACACCCATAATCCTGGTGGATCATGGATTAATCCCAGACTCTAGAAACCTGTCCCAGTGACTGCATGGGGCTTTGAGATGATAACTAGACATAAACCATAACAGCATGTGTATGTGAACACACACACACACACACACACACATATACTTTTTTTTTTTTGTTTTATTTATCTTTTTGAGACAGGGTCCTGCTATGCACTTCAGGCTGGACTTGAGCTCACTTTGTAGCCCTGGCTGGTCTCCAACTCGCAGCGATCCTCCTGCCTTGGCTTCCAAGTGCTGGTATCACAGTGTGCTACCATGCCCAGCACACTTTGCTTTAAGCAAGTGGACTAATAGTGATTACCTCTGAGGAATAACAGGGTTAGAGAGACTGGTCTCATTTGGCAAGTTATCAAGGCAAGCTATTGGCAGTGTTTTAGGTCTTTAGTTGTATGATAATCAGTTTATGGAAGCTCACTATATTGCCACTCACATTTAACAGTCTTTTTGTCATGTGTCAAGTAAAATGTTTTAAATTATTGCTTGTGTTAATGAGCTGCTTCTCCTGGTATTTTCTGGCTGTTTATCTCAGGCTGAAGTGGATATCACAGAAATAAACAAACTAACAGCAGAAGCTATTCAGACACCCCTGAAATCTGCCAAAAGTGAGTACTTTTCAAATTCCTTGGTTTTGGGGCTTGTTGTTGTTGTTGTTTGAGAGAGAGAGAGGGTCTTGCCATGCAGCTCAGGCTGACCTTGAGCTCACTTTGTAGCCCAGGCTGGTCTCCAACTCACATTGATCCTCTTGCCTGAACCTCCCAAGTGCTGGGATTACAGGCGTGCTCTACTAAGCCCGACTCAAAACCCTTGTTGAGCAGAGAGAGCCTGAAGTCTAGGGAATAGGGTTTCATTGGTCGCCCTTTTGTCTCTGTCTGGTTCTCAGTCTGTACATCCAAACACTTGTTTTGGTCTGCTCCATTCAATTAGTTGTATATAGGACTGATACTAACTGGTCTCATACAGCTGATGCATATGTGTGGAGGAGACTGATGTGAGCTAAAGGCAAATGAAAGGAGGAGCTACATAACCAACAGCTGTGCTGAGGGTTCGGTAGTACTCACGATCAGCACATTGAGAGGGTAAAGTAGGGGCATCCCAAGTTTGAGCCCTGCCTGGGCCATTTCGTGAGATCCTATCTCAGAAAACAAAGGGTTGGATGTAGTGACACACACATGTGATCCCAGAACTCAAGAAGTATCAAACCTTAGGACAGACCTGACCCAGGGCCTGGATGTAGGACTGGTTTCCAAGGGACCTTATTCCACTGAAAAAGGCCAGAAGCACTGCCTACCTCTAGCCTGATTAGCCTTCCCTCAGAATTGCCTTGTGGGTGAAGAGAGCATGATTTTTCTCTTCTGAGTTCTATCAGTTTTACTGAATTGTCACTGGTGACAGGGTCTTCTGATTTTACTCCTTGAAACTGAATCCACCAGGACTAATACTAAGAATTGCTTGTATACTTTTTTGACCACTGAACTTCATTATACTGTAAACTATTAAAAGACAGAGAGATTCTAATGTATCAAAGTTGTAGCTGAAAAGCTTAAAGCCTTCCACCCTGTGATTAAATACATGAACTCTCTCTGTAGTCCCTACTCAGGATTATCTATCTAGCTCCTGGTTGTATGTGTTTAACAGTGAAACATTTCTACTTTTTATCATCAGACGATGATGATGATGATGAGAAAGTTCTTCTAATTTCGAACCAAAGTTTCTTTGTGCCATCTATATTAAGATTAGGGGGCTGGGGATTTAGCTCAGTAGTCGAATGCTTACCTAGCAAGCCGGAAGCACTGGGTTCAGTCCTTGGCACCAAAAATAAATAAATAAACTTCATCTGTGTTAGTATTCTGTTTTATAGACTGCCATAAGAACTTTCTTAAGACAACATGTTAAATGTCAAAAGTTGTGATCTACTGAGGTGTGGTGATGCATGCCTGTAATCCTGGCACTCACGCTGCTGAGGCAGGAGGGTCAGCACGCGTTTGAGGCCAGCCTGGGTGATGTAGTCAGTTCCAGGACAGCCTGAACTGTCGAGCAAGACCCTGTCTCATAAAACGATAGGTAGATACATAGATAGCTACATAAATAGATATTGCAAACTTTCATCTTAACATCCTTCATACACCTTTTTCTCCTAAGACAATTTTGTTTTTGTTTCTTTTTAAAGAGACATGAGAAGGATTTATCAGAGGAAGATATAGGATACACTTGGGCAAAGTGCTGGTGCGCAAGGACATGAGCATCGCTCCTCAGACAACTGTGATAGTAACTTATAAATAATGTTATAATTAGCACTTACTTGAATTTGTGTCTGTACTATAGATTCGTTCATTCCATGATTACCTAACACCTAAAGGTACATTTCTAGGACCAAGGGATACAGTGATGACAGTAACAATCTATTCTGCGGAATATATGTTCCAAGCCTCCTAATTTCCCTATAAAGTAATAGCTCCTTATTATAGATGAGGAAACTGGAACACTTTGATTACAGCCTTCTGACCTAGTATGTAGTAGCTTCAGACCTCAAGCCCGAGTCTGTCCTAATCAGAGTGCAGGCTGTCCCTAGCACGGATAGGCCATCGTGGGGTTACCTAAGCACTCTGATTGGCTTCCTTTGCTTAAGCAGCTTATCTTATGTGTGTGTGTGGGGGGGGGTTTATTGTTGTGTTGTTTTATTTTGTTTCTGTGGTATTGGGGATTGAACCCAGGGCCTTGAGCATGCCAGGCAAGCACTCTACCACTGAGCTACATCCCCAGCCCACAGCTCTTTTCTTGCTTGGCATGGCTGTCCACACCTGTGACCCCAGCACTTGGGAGGTTGAGGAAGAAGGATCACCACACTTGAGAGGCCAGCCTGAGTTCAAGAGCAGTCTAAACTACATAGGGAATTCCTGTCTCAGAAACCCCAAGAAATGAATAACCCTTTTCTTTTTTTTTTTTTTGCGGAACCGGGGATTGAATTCAGGCCCTTGCGCTTGCCAGGGAAGCGCTTATTCCACCGAGCCATCTCCCCGGCCCCAATAACCCTTTTCTTTAAAAAACAAAAAAAAGAAAAAGTGAATTTCTAGACTTAGAATGTGCCTTGATGGCAGAACTTGCATGTCTAGCATGCACAAGGCACTGGGCTCAATCCCCAACACTTCTAAAACAAAAACAAAAACAAAAAAAATGTGTGCCGTTTCTTGATTGCAGCCTAACATTGAATAATAGATGTTCCTTATGCGAAATGTGGGTGGCGCAAGAGGCTGTTCCATCAGTGATCACATGCTTTTAAATGTTTCTTTATAGAACGGAAGGTAGTACAAGTGGATGAAATGATAATGGAAGAAGAAGAAGAAAATAGACCTCAGAATTCCCAAACTACAAGAGTAAGTAGGAATTGAGGTTAAGAGGGCTAGCAAGAGAGAAATAAATAGAAAAATACATGGAACCAGTGTCATCCTCCCAGGGCTTTAAGTTTGATTGAAAAGATCTCCGTTTAAGTAGCAAATAACAAAAGCGAGCATTGGCACCTGTGCCAAGCTCCAGTGCACAGTGGAGGAAGCCAGTGAGTTTTCCTGTCCTTTTAGGACATAGCCAGGCTTTTCAAGGTGACTGAACTTCTGCTAGCTGGAGATGGAAGGGGAGAGTGTTCCATGTAGAATTAGGAAAGTATCGTTTTGAGGAACAGGAAGAAGTTGGGTATGGCTGGGATATAAACTGTAAGGGTAAAAAAAAAAAAAAAAAAAAAAAAAAAAAAATAAGCCATTTTTCTTCAGATTACTAGTCTCTTACCAATTTAAGAGTAGAATAAGCACTTGCCTGGCAAGATCAAGGGCCTGAGTTCAA